GCCCACCCAGAGCAGGGGAGGTCTGATCATCTCCGCCTTGCGTCCCCAGGTGTCGGAGAGCCTGGTCCAGAGGAACGGGGACTTCCTGATCCGTGACTCGCTCACCAGCCTGGGGGACTACGTGCTGACGTGCCGCTGGAGGAACGAGCCGCTGCACTTCAAGATCAACAAGGTGATGGTGAAGTCCAGCGACGGCCGCACCCACATCCAGTACCTGTTCGAGCAGGAGAGCTTTGACAACGTGCCCGCCCTGGTGCGCTTCTACGTGGGGAACCGCAAAGCCGTCTCCGAGCAGAGCGGCGCCATCGTCTACTGCCCCATCAACCGCACCTTCCCGCTGCGCTACCTGGAGGCCAGCTACGGACTAGCCAATGGGAAGCACAGCGGGCCCCACAGCCCCGCCAGCCAGAAAGGGGGGCACATCAAGAGGCGGAGCATCACCATGACGGACGGATTGACGGCCGACAAGATCACCAGGGGCGAGGGGTGCCCCACCAGGTAACGAGATAAGTGAAAGGCAGAACGTAAGGGTCTCAGAGGGCCTTGGCGTCTCACCACATCCCTGGGATTATCTCCATTCAGGGAGACTAGCACCAAGAGGGGAAATGACTAGCCACAGATCACACAGCAAATCAATGGCAGAGCCTAGACTAGAACCCAGGAATCCCAACTCCTAGTCCCCAGCCCCCAACTTGCTGGACAACACACCAGAATAATCAGCAACCAGTTGCATTCCTCGCTAAGAGCCACAGAGCGCTTTGAGCGAACACCCCTTAGCGTCACCAGTGAGTCAGATCAGTTAAAGCTGCAGCAAGCATGCACAGGGTACCCGACCAGCTTGGTAGGGTTATACGTTCCGCCAATTTCATTTGATTGGATCTTAAAAAAAAAAAAAAACAAGCCCGGCCTTGCCAAGCACGCCAGAGATGGGAAATGGAAAGAACGGTCAAACTCTCACTTACTCTTCACTGCTCAGTTCTGCCCTCCGGTCAGCGTAGGCAGTGAAACCAAAACGAGTCAATTTCCCCTCATTTCTTGGCTATTTCTCCTGCACAGCCCCATGTGTCTGGTTTGGGTTACTGGCCCTCTAGGGGGAGGGTGGGGACAGGCTGGGGAGAGGAGAATGGTTAAACGCAAACGGCTGTCACTGACTGTTAATACACAACTAGCACAAACCTTTCTCTTCTGACTTTGGTCCTACAGAGCCGACGCGCTGGGCCTGAATTCGCTGATGGTCCTGAGCATTTCCTAGAGAATCATGGCCTGCTTTCCAGAAGTGCTGAACAGCTGCAGTTCCCATGGACTTCAGCTGGAGTCGTAGGTGCTCAGCACTCTTGAAAAGCCCATCCCCACAGACTGGGCTTTCAGCAGAGCTTCCCTCCCACATACTTCTGAAAGTCCGGCTGCTTGTGCTGGTGTGTAAACAGGAGCGGAGCTCTCCTGAAAATCAAGTCCTGTGTGCCCTCTCCTGGGGTGTGGGCATATTACCCCAGCCACCCCTGAAGCCTGGGGACCAAATTCGCTGCTGGCACAAACAGACACAAGTTCACTGACAGTTGCACGCGTTTACACTGTGAATTTGTCCCTTGGCATCTGCCCTGGAGCGTCTACAGGAGCCATGTGTTTGAGAGGGATCAGTGACTTGACCTATTTTTACCCCGCCCCCAGCGTATCCTTACCGCATCATCGAGACGTCATCCGGAACTGCGCAGTCAGCGTGGACCAAATCCAAGATCTCCATTCCCCAATGTCTCCCATCTCCGAGAGCCCACTGTCTCCGGCCTACAGCACCGGTAGGAATCCCTCAGCCCCGTGGAAAGCAGTCACACACAGAGACTCAAATGTGCATTATCCATAGTATGAAGAGTGGAACTGGGGAAAGAGGGGAGGGACTTTGCTTGGTGTGACACCAGAGGCTCAGGCATGCAAACTGGGCCGGGCTGCTACTAGATAGACACCAGCCCTGTGGCACATAACACTGGCCTCTACATGCTTAATACAGATCTTGTCAATGAGTCAGGCTTCACCCCTTCCTCAGCCCTAGTGGCCAGGTGCCACACTATGGATACTGCCTCAGTTTCCCCATTTGAGTTTGTAAGTCCAAAACAATTTTGTATCAAAGAACGACTAATCAACAGAAAACATGTCCCAAACAGGGAAAGACCTTCAATTTGAGTCTGATGCCACTCCTAATTCTGTTGTTGGGGTGCCCCCTCTTCCACGGTGTCTGGATCCTCCCTGGATAAAGAGCTTCCTGGAAGCTGGGGTACTGTTCTCGCCAGTCCTTCAGTTCTCTTTACATAAATAACCCTCAGTCCTCCTTTCTGGAGCTCAGGATACTGCTGTCATCAGGACTTTGCTTATTTTTCCCATCTCTCCTACCTGGCACTGGGGTTCAGTTCTCAACAGTCCTCCCCATAACTGGTTTAGGAGGCGCTCCCCTTGTGCATTGTGGGGTCTCCTCTCTAAGAGCTCTCTGTCCCCAACTGATCACCATACTGATTCCTCTCCAACTGAGTTCTGCTGACCTTTATATTAAAATCCAGTACTTACCTATCAGTTAAGCACCAACCAGCCAGAAGGATGATCAGTTAGCCCCTGGGCAATCAATTAGCCCCAAGGCTGTCTCACCGGCTTTAGTCATGGGTAAACTGGCCCCAATTTCCTCCAAAAGGCCTGTCACCCTATGACCGATCTCTTTCCTACAACTCTACCTGCCTGCTGCATCACTTATTGCTAATAAAACACCAACTGTCTAAAATAACCCCTCTTCAGCTTAAGGGAAAACATCCAGAGAGAATGGAAGTCCAGTCAGAGAGAGCAGAGTGTGAGAATCTCCTATGTAACAGGCTGCAGCCACTCTGAGAACACAATGGCTGCTGTCTTTGCACAGAGGCAGATCTTAGAAACTTAAAGGAATAGTACACAGAAAACAAGGGCCTCAATCTTTCCTAACTACCTACACCACACCACCATTTAAAAAGAATCAGCTAGTCTGGAATGAGACGGGGGGACTAAACCCTAGGGTGGTACAACTGTTAGAAACTATTCTAATTTCTGCCAGTCCTTGGCAACCTCAAATATAACATGGGCTCAAAGTCCTGCCCTCTGACTGGCTAGAAGTTCTTATGATCATGACAAAGATATTTGTAACTTCATAGGTCCCGATCCAGATTGTCTGTTCTATCTGAGAGTTGGGTCTCTTGCATCTCTCAGTTTGGCCTGCAGCATGCGTGTTTATGCATGTGCCTGGGATGCATGTCTCTTCTCTGATCTACAGTAACTGGGTCTCTTCTTCCCTCTGCAGTGACTCGGCTAAAGCCCCAAGGGGGTCAAGCTGGTGGCATTACCCCAGCCTCTCCTGTCATAAGAAGATCCAGCGAGCCACAGCTGTGTCCAGGAAACAACCCCCTGACAGACCTGGCTGATAGCACCCACTCCACTCCCTGCCATGGGTACTCCACGGCCTCTCCTTCCCCCTCTGTTAACAGCTATAGCGACCCGGACACAGGGCATTACTGCCAGCTCCACCCCACCTCTCCTGTCGGCCAGGAGAGGCCGACTCATGACACCAAGCCGCTCCCCACTAAGAGCTATGTGGAGAGGTTGAAGGTGGAGGGGGGTCAGAGGGTGACTGCAGAGAACGGCTCCAGCGAGGCAGGGCAGAGGATGAAAAGGGAGCAGGACATTGTGGGCTTTGTCTCACCCACTGTGGAGATGGGCTCGTCTTTCAACCCTGTGGCGTTCCAGTCCCTGCTGATCCCCCTGGAAAACAAGCCTCTGGAAATGGCTGTGCTTAAGAAGGTGAAGGAGCTCCTGGCAGAGGTGGATGCCAAGGCCCTTGCCAGACACATCACCAAAGTGGACTGCCTGGTATGACTGGAGATTTGGAGGGTGGGGAGGGCGATGTCATTGCCATGACCTGCTGCCTTGAACTAACCCCTCCCTTGCTGGGCTTGTTGGAAGAGCTGACATTTAACTAGAGAATGTAGCGTCTCAAAGAGACCTATCTGGTGCCAGCTGAGCAGATGAGTGGGGTCTGGTGGACTGAGCACGGAGCTGGGATTGACCATCTTTGAGTTTTAATCCCAGATCCACCAGTGACTCTGTAACCCTTGGCAAGTCACTTCAGTGCTCCGTGCCTCAGTTTCCCAATATGTAAAATGCATGTGTGTGGCTGACCTCTCAGGGTGTTGTGGGGGCAAATTAGTATTACCAGTGCTCTAGGGGCATGAGGGGAGTTGAGTCTCTTTTGGTCCCACTCAGCCCTGGCCTCTCTGAGACCGCTGACAAACGGACAATCAGTGCCAATTACGTGAGAGCTCATTGCGAGGTGAGGACTTGTGCACCCAGAATTGGATTGAGACAATCCACCTCATTTTGCACAGGCCATCTACTGGGGATCAGCTGGGCCCACCCTGGTCACCACCACCCCTGGGCTGGATGGGAGCCAGTTTCCTAGGGCTGGGTTGTAATCAAAGAGCACTGTCCATTCTCAAAGCCATTACATTCCTCCCGGGCCCCTGTGCGTGAGGTAGGGCAGGATTATCTGGGGACCAGGGAGAAGTGTCCTGCCCCAAGCCAGGCAGTCATTGGCAGAGCCAAGATTAGAAGCCAGATCTCCTGACTCTCCCACCTGTGCCTCAAGAGGCTCCATGCTAGCCATCCCCCGCCAAGGACACTGCTGAGACTCTGTCCTCAAACACCTGCCACCGGCCTGCCCCGTCCAGGCCCTTTCACTTCCAGAGTTTGTTTCCATCTAGGGTCTGGATACTGGTTCTCGACATCAGGGAATCTTGGGCTTTAGGGCCAAACTCATCCCTTGGGGTAACTGGGTGCATCTCCACTTGCTCACAGGGTTTAGTACCTTCACACACACACCCATGCAGTACCGTCCATCTCTTGGCGTGCCCTGTGTGTGTAAACCCCGTGCTGGCAGCGGCTCAGGGAGTCCCAAGCATCGGTGCTTTCCTGGCTGAGCCTGGTGTGTGGTGAGGCAGGGGGAAGACCTAAGCTTGTGGCTGCCTCACAGCGGAGCCTGTCCAGAGCGAAAACTTTCTCTGCACCGAGCCAAGCCCCCTCCCCTCAATCCGAGGAGCTTCAGCTGCTTTCCCTCTTTGTTGCAGGTTGCTAGGATACTGGGTGTTACCAAGGAGATGCAGAGGCACATGGGAGTGAGCTCAGGCATGGAGCTGCTCACCCTGCCCCACGGCCATCAACTTCGACTCGACCTCCTAGAACGGTAGGCTGGGAAGCAAAGGGGCAGGGGGCCTGTAGGACTTGGGAAAGCAAGTGCTGCCCTGGCTCCTGTCCCAGGCAACCCTGCCTGACTCCAGAAGAGCTGTGGGGCTCAGCCCCACTCGGTTCGGTATCTTGCTCTGGACCTCGGGGACTACCTGTTGCCACCAGATTTGGCAAGTTTGGCCTGTGGTTCCGAATGCAGCTTCCGTCGCCGTACAATGCTCTGCCCCCAATCTGCTTTCAGTGGGTTATTGAAACGACAGCGACAGGCCCCAGAGTAATGGCCCTGGAGACTGAAATCCTCAGTTTAGCCACGCACCCCCGGCAGCTGCAGTGCAAGCATCACACCCAGTGCTGGCCTCCCGATGGGCCTCAAACCTGACCTTGATGGGCCACCTCTAGGGGGAGTCCAGGCTCCATGGCACCATTCAGTCCTCAGCCTCTCTGCTGAACCTGCGGATGAGGCCTCCAGTTGTGTCCCACTGGACTGAGGCAGCCAATGCATTGCACGTGGGGAACCACAGAGCCGTCATGATGGGGACATCTTCTGGCCACTCCCCACTTGGGTCAGATTTGAACCAGCGGCCAAGACGCTCCATATCCCCTCGCCACCTCCTAACTCCCTTGCCTCTGCTTCCTTCCTCATCTGACATCTCAGCCTCTCTGTTTCCTCTCACGTCAGGTTCCACACCATGTCCATAATGATTGCGGTGGATATCCTGGGCTGCACAGGCAGCACGGAAGAGAGGGCAGCCCTGCTGCACAAGACCATCCAGCTGGCTGCCGAGCTGAAAAGCACCCTGGGGAACATGTTCAGTTTTGCTGCTGTGATGAATGCGCTGGAAATGACCCAGGTAGCAAAACCCCTCTGTGGCAAGCGCTCGGCTCAGCCTGGCCCCTTCTCCCACCCCCGCCCCCCAAATCACACACACCTCACTGCATCCCTCAGGCTCCTGGAGCCCCAAACGCCAGCATGTTGGAGTGGGGGAAGAGTGGAGACAGAATATTGTGGGGGACACGGGGTCCAGTTCATCCTGGGTATCTCAGAACAGTGCTTGAAGCAGAGTAGAAAAGAGCTATAGGGAAATGGCGAGGATGGGAACATCCCCAACCCCCGAAAATGGCCCGGTCCCATACAGCCATGATTTGGTATTCTTTGCCGGGCTGTATTATTCAGAGGAAATGAAGTCGCCGTCCAATATGATATAATCACTGCTTTAAGGCTCCAGCATCTCGCAATCCAAGCTGCTCCCTTCAGAAGATAGAATTCAACTTTAAATCAAGCCCGGCTGGGAACTCACTTTCCCCTAGTTCAAAGGAGCTGGAGCTGCTCCCTGCCCTCCCCATCTCTCTCGCTGTCCGTCACCAGCCACGGAGGAAGGAAAAAATACCAGCAAAGCAAAAATTCTTTTGATGAGCTCTCAAGTTTCTCACCACTGCTGCACGGTCAAGCTTAGAGATGCCCAGAGAGCTGGCACAACTAAGGGAGTCCGCAGAGGGGACCGGGAGGGGAGGCTGCAAGTTAGGGCCGAGGTTTATAGCAAAGCTGTGGGGGATCCTAGATGGGCGCAGGAGGTGTGGCAGGGTAGGAGCGAGTGTTAGCTGAGCTGCCTGGGTGTCCTTGGATTGGAATAGCAGGAAGGCTGCAGCTCAGGACTGAGGTACTTTGGCAGATCCACCCAGAATTAGTCTGTCCCCAGCTCTAGCTGGTGCTGCTGGTCCCTCATGAGTGTCGGAATCCCAGTGCGTTAGTGGGACAGTCCCTGTAGAGCTGAGAGCATGCTGCTGCCAGTCCCGTGGTCAGACCCTTCCTTTGCTGCTGCTTCCAGATCTCGCGGCTAGAGCACACCTGGATGGCGCTGCGCCAGCGGCACACCGAGGGGGCCATCCTCTATGAGAAGAAGCTAAAGCCCTTCCTGAAGAGCCTGAATGAAGGAAAAGGTAACGGGGAGGAAGAGTCTTTCGCCTGGCATTTCTCTTTCCCCTGTGCTCTGCTCTGAATCGCCCTCTCAAAGGTCCGTACAATTCCCCGGAGCTCTGGATGGGCTAGCCCCTGTCCCATTTTCCCATATCATCCACTGAATGAGTGAGGGAAAACGGGTGTGTCCAGTTACATCCACCTGGCTTCCTGCCAGACTCTTCGTCATCCTGATGGGTATTTCCATAGTGAGAGCCCCCTGGAAAGGGGCAGCCCCCAACACCATGGCCTCTCTGCCAGTCACCCAAAACATCCCTCCTACCCCACTCAACCCTCCCCTTGCCCCCTCTTCCCCATTCCAGTCCCTGGTGGCTCTACTCCTCCCCTCCCCTTGGGACCTAACTCCACCCTGTGGCAGCAGCAGCTCCTTCCAAGACCTCTGAAGTCATGGGCCACCAAACGCCACTGGGACAGCAAGGGTGGGATTGCTGCCTGTGATCTGTCCATCCTTCCTCCTCCATGAGCTTCCCCCTGCCTAGCAAGGCCAAGGGCATTACAGTCAGCATTTGCACACTGCTGCTAGGATGCAGAAGGTGCAAGACCCTGCAGAAGCTGCCACCCCAAGCTAATGGAGTCCAGCTGTTCACTTGCCCACAACCCGTTGCTCTGGAACACCTGCCTCCCCATTCCAACCAGTCCTGCCTCTTCTGTTTAGTGACCTAGGTGAAATGAGTTGACTGTCCCAGACCTGTCTGTAGAGGAGAGTTGTCCACATCACAGAAACTGTCATAACTGGTATTAACTGACCCCCTTGTTGGTAGTGAGAGACCAAGGACTGGACTGCCCTCTTGCTCCTGGGAGGGTCTCCCTCCCCTCTGGGGTAAAGACTGGGGCATGTTGGGAAGTGCCTGTTTGGGGTAATCTTGTCCAGACTGTACCTGTTCTGTAGCTATCTGGAGGGCACCGGTCCACAGGGCTCTCAGTCTTGCACCTCTCACCATGACAAACTTTGAGGGTGAGCGTATGAAGTGGCCCCTTTGGCTCTTGAAACATCAGGCAGTAGCCAGGGAATTCAGGATGTGGGTGTGTTCTTGTTCTCTCGCAGAAGGCCCTCCGCTGACCAACACCACCTTCCCTCATATTGTGCCCCTTATTACACTCCTGGAGCGGGATGCCGCGCTCCTGGACAGCCCTGAGCCCTGGGAAAACACGGACAATGGCGTGGAGGTTGTCATGGCCCACCTGGAAGCAGCGCGGATGGTGGCGCATCACGGGGGACTGTACCATACCAACGCAGAGGTGAAGCTTCAGGGTAAGGAAGCATTGAGTCTGATCTGTGATATCCAACTCATTTTGGGCCAAAGAGCCCCTCCAGGCTGCACCAGATATCCACTGGCAAGGGGAAGGTCCACACAACACTAGATCTTCCTCTTCCCATCCCTGTGGAGTTGGTTCCACACCACAGAGGGTGCCCCGCTGTCAGAACTGGGGCCATTCTCCTGTACAGAAGTGGGGATGCCAGGTTGCTGGCAGTAAATAAGTGGTCTGCATTTACCCCTGTGGAAAAGGGGACTCACCACTGGAGCACCCCCTTGTGGCTGGGTATGGCATAAAAGGTTCTCATCAGCACCACCTGCAGTGATCTATCTCCTCTCCCAACTCAGAGCTCCAGCCAGGTCAGTTTCACCCCATCCAGCATAACAGAAAGTTCAACAACAGTCCAGCATCCTGACAAAAGCTCTTCAGTCCCAGGTCCTCACACCCTTCTCTTAGGGCTCTCCACTGTCCTTATCCCCATCTAATGGGCCTCACACCACCTTCCCCAGGGACTGGTAGGGAATCCAGGCTCTCCCTCTAGTCTGCGTTCCAGTCCAAGAGACTCTATAACCAGCAGCCAAGGACTGCTCTGTCAGACTCCTTTCTGCTGCCTCCCTTCCTACTGTAGCCTATCAGCTGGCCCCTCCCACAGCCTCTCTGGGTTTACTTTTCTCTCAGGGCCAGGCCATACAGGGCTCCCGCTGGAATCCCCCAACAAAATTGAAGTACAAATGGAAACCCACTTCTGCTGTCCTTGGGCTTGACCTTTCATCCTTCTCTGCTCCTCAGTTTAACACCTCCCTGGGCTCTCTCCTTGGAAGTCCAGATTCTGCCCTATCTTCAGGGCTCCTCACCACCAGAGCCTGCTCCATCCCCAATGGCTGTTCTGTGTAACTCCTGGCTTCCTGCTACAATTCTCTACCCAGGAGAGGATCCCAGGGCCAATTCTGCCTCTGGGTTCCTCCTTGACCCTCTCACACTCTCTGGTCCCAGGGAGTAACTGCAGAGTTCTTCACTGTCTCTTCCTGCAGCACCTTCTGCTGCAGACTTCCTGTCTTTGTAGTACCACCCAGCTGGGCTTCATCGTCAGATAGGCCTGGCCCACCCTCCAGGTGCAGCCAGGTAGCATAATTGGCCTCTCCAAGCCACATTAACTCTTTCATTGCCTCCATGGGGTAAACACCCATCACACCTCCAACGCTTCCCCCTAGATTCTCCTAAGCTGGGTTACACAGCGGTTCCCAGCAATCGTGAGTTGCAAGTAGGGTGACCAGATAGAAAGTGTGAAAAATCGGGGTGGGGGTAATAGGCACCTGTATAAGAAAAAGCCCCGAATATCGGGACTGTCCCTATAAAATCAGGACATCTGGTCACCCTGAATTGCACGTCAGGTCAGAATCTAGCCCATTGTGTTTGAAGGGACTTTGAACAGAGCGTCATTAAGGCCTTGGACTGGATGTGGGGTAACTCGTAGCTTATTGCAGGACTATTAGTAAGAAGGTCCATGTTTCAGCCAATCTCTCTCCAGGATAGAGACCGGCATTGTGTGGCTGAACCATCAGCCTCCCAACCCTGCTCCTGGACTAACCCGTTTTACCATGTGCTCTCTTGAGCTCATGGTCCCAGGCCAGTTTGCTTCTCCCGGAGAACTGGAAGGGCAGAGGAATTCCTGCTGCTCCATTTAGGCTAGGGTAGTTCAGAGCATGCTTGTGGTGAGCTTGTCCCCTGGTGGGCTGGCTTCTCTTTGACGCTCTTGGGTCTTGTGTCCTTTGCAGGATTCCAGGGCAAGGCTGAGCTCCTTGAGATCTTCAGCACTGAGTTCCAGATGCGTCTCCTGTGGGGCAGCCGCGGCGCTGAGAGCAGCCAGCGGGAACGCTACGAGAAATTCGACAAGGTCCTCACAGCATTGTCCCACAAGCTGGAGCCCTCTGTGCGGTTCAGTGAACTGTAACCGACGTGGGACTCGGAGTTAAACTCACAGAGGGAGAGTGGCACCAATCAGTCCTTCAAGAGGCCAAGTAACCAGGTCCCCAGTCTGCAAGCCAGCCCACTCCTCATGCAGCCATGGGGGCTAGGAAGCTGTGGGTACCACAGACCCAGAAGGGGAGCCAGCCAGGCGCGAGGGCGTGAGGAAGAAAGCTGGCATTTAACATCTGCAAAGGAAAGAACTGACCAGGAGTGAAATCACGGCATTGGGATGGGTACAGCTGTAGCTCTCTGGAGAAGAGAAACCTTCTGAAAAGTTCCAGCATGCCAGACTGATGGGGGAGGGAGCCCAGAACAGCTATTATGATATAGATCCATCCGTGCTCCGCACATGCAAACTACAGGAGGCTGCATTTTAATTTCCACCCAAAGCAGTGACCTCCCCTCCTCAACCACCAATACAAATCAATAGTGAAATCTCACTAACGGACCCTCCCCACTAACATCCTATCGAAATTCCCTGGGCAGTCCCGGTGCAAATGTTTTGAGCGGCACATTTGTGGAGGAAGGAGAGCGCTGATCACTCCCAGCCATGATACCTCCTGCTGATTCTCAGCTGTAGTTTAGGCCAGTGTGTGCATCCCAGCTGATCTACACAAAGATGCCTGTGAAGCCAGAAATCCACCTCCTCTGGCCCTGCAATCACAAGGTATCTCATTACCGTTGTGTTCTTCATTCAGCCTTGCTGGTTCTCAGCCACGTGGGGTCCAGTTGCTATGATCACCCAGTGCCGCCCCCACTCGTACAGCCTGTTGGCCTCAGATATTTTATCTTTTCTCTGTCTTGTCTGAGGCCTCTTAATTCTGCCTGTAAATAAATTTCACATTTACTTCTTGATGTACAGACTTGTGAGGGCGTTCTTGTAAATAATTATGCTCGCGTCATTTCGTCTTGTAAATAAGTGTACATAGATCATGGGGGAAGTGGGGTATTTTTGTTGTTGTTTTTGGTTCTTACATACAATAAACTTTTATGCTCTTCCTCAATGGACTCACATCTTTGGAGAACATTTTAAAATACTTTTCTATAGTGACACAAGCTCGTACCATTCAAGGTGCGTTTGTACTGACGCCCCAAGTGTCGGTGGTGTCTATGTATTGTGCCCCAAGCATCGATGGTGTTTCTTCTTTTGTTGGCATTACTTAAGAAATTTAATGCACCTGGGGCATACAAATAGAACAGTCGCAGTGGGAACAGCTTGAGAACAGATTAAGTAATAGTAATTGCACCTGATGGAGGCAGGAACGTAGTGAAGCTGACCTTGTTCCCGCTGTTCCCTCCTGGTGTAACTCCAGTTGACTCAATGGAGTTAAGTTGACCCATTAAGTCCTAATTTGGCTAATGCAATCTTAACAGACAAGCCAACTATAGCGGGAAAACGATAATGTTGCCCTGGTTGTAAGGAGTCTGCTCGCAACCTAAAATGTCTAAACACAATGTAGAGTCAAAACCTCACCCCAATGCGTAACAGAGTTCACATCAAGCCTTCTCACTGCACTTGGCTGCTCCTAGGGTTCCTCCTTCAGAACTGTTCAGCCCACACCCTAGATCCTGTCTCCCCAAAAGGTCACTCCCACCTCTTTTATCCAAATGGGGCAATGAGCCACCAGCAACGAATGAGTCAGCAGAGTCCATTTAATCCTTTCCCATCAGGAGTAGCACCAAGATCGAGGATTAGATGTTTCAGGCCAGACTTGAATAAGTCCCACATACGCTCCCTCTCTCTCACCATGCTCTATACCAGTGGAGCAGTGCTTCTGTACTTCTACAAAGATAGTCTCAAATTTCATCCAATTAATTCAGCTCTTGTTTCAAGCCTGCTGTCAGGTACTCTTGTCTGATTGCCTCCTAAGGCTGGTACTACCACTGTTCAAACTAGGGGCTTTCTGTACTCATGGCTGTATTTGGCTATTGGATGACTGTGAAGTGCTGCTCCTTGAGTATCCTTCGAGGCTGGAGAGCTGTTTGGGAAGCATTTCACATGCCTTTCAAAGACGATGGGGGAAATGATCTGCGATGTATCCTAGGCACAGCAGCGCTCCTTCTGAGGACAATGCAGTCACATACCTTCAAAAGTTCAGTGGGCTTCTTCTGATAATGCGTTTGTTGCCTAGTGGGGACGATCATCAGCTTATGTTCAAACTCAGATGGTCCCCAGAGTTTGAGGTCCACTAAGGGCTTCAAAACATTATCAAACAGTAGCCCAGTCTGTAGGGCTGGAACTAACCCACTCAGCCCTGAATGCAACAACTTGTAGCATGTAACAGACACCTGAGGGTGTCATCAACACCTAGCTCTAAAAACCTATCCACCTTTTCATCTTCTTTGCTTTACACCAGAACAAGCTGTCTACCCATCCGTTCATAAATGATCATTGCTGGTTATCACCCAGCCATCCTCTGGGTCTGGCATTTTCAGCCAACTGCAGGGTAAAAACCTCTCCAGAACTTAGAACTCCTGATGGGCTTGTACATTTTTTTGCTTTGCTGTAATTCTGGTGACCACACCAGCCTGCTCTGGCTAATGGTTGGACTATGGGCTCCAAAGCCGATTTAAAGTAAAACAACTCAAAACCTAGGGTTTGGGGAATTCTGTTATCCCATTGGAATTGCTGTGGCTGCTGCTGGAATGCTGCGGCTGCGGCTGTGATTGCGAAAGGAATGGAAGAAGATCCACGAGGTTGTGCAGGGAGAGGAGGAAGCCAAGAGACAATATGTGCTGCATCTTTTGGAAAAAATTGGAGAGCTACTGATTTAGTGAGAAGGCGCCACCCCGTGGTGCTTTTAGAGTTGCGTAACTCAAAGTGTCTTATCACCTCAGCCTATGCTGGTATAATTTATGTCGCTTAGGGATATGAATAAACTACCGCCCTGAGCAACATAAGTTAAACCAACATACACGCCTCTGTGCACAGCACTCAGGTGAGGCAATAGAATCTTTTACATCACCTACCTTGTCTCTCTCATATCTACATTACCACTTATGGTGGCAAAACTTATGGCACTCAGGGGTTTTAAAAAAACACACCCCTGAGCAACATAATTTTCACCAGCATAAATGGTAATGTGCACAGCACACAGCTTCTCCCGCTGAGATAGCTACCGCCGCTCGCTGGGGGTGGTTTAATTATGTCCTCTCCCATCGGTATAGAGCGGCTACACGAGAGATCTTACAGCAGTGCATGTGCATCAGTACTGCTGTGCCCCTGTAAGGTCTCTAGCGTAGACACAGCCTCATACCCTGGGACCAGCACGGCTACAACAACACTGCAAACAACTGTCAAAGTGTCTTGTGGGGGGGTGGCAGCAGGGGGAGGGGGTAATTTACCAGTAAAAGCTCGCTGCTAAAAAGGCAACAGCCTGACACTGCCAGCCATCCGCCTGAGCTCAGGTCCTTAGAGTCCTCTCCTGCCCCAAACCAGCAGGCTTGCAAGCGCTGAGGAGTGACTATACTCAGTCCTAAGTCAAGAGGGGCATGCTCAGCGATCTTCCCAGCAACCTCCTCTGTTCAGTGCTGGGAGGGGGGCGGATGGACAGGCTCCAGAGAGAGCTGCTTCAAACTCTTTTTTGTTAAAGGGAACCTGTTTGCAATGCCCAGGTCCACAAGGCAAAATGAGAGGTTGAAAATGGGGGCCCCCAGGAGCGCTCCCATACCCCGAAATAGCAAATTTACCTGTGTACTAATCACCAGGTGTGAGTTTAAGCGAGATCCTCACTGTGCTATGCCGAATGCATGTCTTGGAAGACTCTGTTAGCTGCACCCATCCATGAGTGCAGCGGGTGCTGGTTCCCCCTGTACGGCTTCTATCATGTGGAGTGACTTCTCTCTAGCTCATCCCCTCATCGCTGCTCTATCTCATTTCAAATGTCAGGTGAAAACCTCTCTCCTCGCCCTTGCCTTAGGTTCCCACAAATGCAAGTTTGTCTGGCGGGGCAAACACATGCATCCCAACACTGACTAAAGAGGGCAACGTGACCTGGGCTCCCAGTTATTTTGAGACCCCATGAGCCAGGCCTGAGCCATTTGGACCACTCCAAAATCAGGCTGATCCCAGAAATACCCAGATCTGGTACCAAGCCACCCTGCTGCAATGCTCTCCCTCCGTTGTGGTTTACACTTTTGGGGGTAGAGGCAGAGCTCTGCTGGGCACCTGTGGGAATTGAAGTTGCTCATTTGGGATGCAGTGTGGACACCAGACACGAAATGAGGGGTTCTCAAACTGGGAGTCACGCCCCCTCAGGGGATCGCAAGGTTACTAGGTGGGTGTCACGAGCTGTCTGTCAGCCCTGTGCGGGGCTGACAGCCTGAGCCCCGTTAGATTAAATTAACCCCCCCTCCCCATTTTTAATTGATAAGGGGGGGCGCACTCAAAGGCTTGCTGTGTGAACGGGGTCCCCAATAGGAAGTGCACTGGGTAGCCCCACAGGAGGAATCTTCCCCCTGGGCCCTGTACCCCGAGGACCCTGGTCACTGCCCCCCACCCCCCAAGGTGCCCC